CCCTCCCTTTGGTATGGTTAAGACAACTATTAGATCTAACAGTGTTAGTAATCACAATTTATGAGAAGAATCATAATTGTCAAAAGCCCTTCTTGATGTTACTACCTAATGCACATTTATCCTATAGTATAGTTAAATATAAGAGTTGTAAATAGAATCTTATTATGTTATATAAAAGCTCTAGATTACTGGTATTATAGTTAAACTATTTGAGGACTCAGTGAGGCGGTACCCTTAGCAAGGTGCTGCATGGCTTGGCATCAATACAGCTCTCTACTATCTTTTCTCTTACAGGACAATATATTTTTTTCTTTCTGTTCTACAAACAATCCACAATACCAACAGCCTCAACACAATTACCTCTAAAGAGTATACTATTATCCTGCTATTTCAGATTATACTGAACCAGATACCTTACTGTCCTGTACAAAACTCAGGTAGATACTGAATTTCTTTGCACCAAAAAGCTAACCTATTGATACAGATTACTGACTGTATTGGACAGTTTCTTCAGATTTTAGCCATCTGGGATAACAGGATATGAGTATAGATCTGCTTCAGAGGTACTAACTACAAACCAAGTGGCAGGTCCACCAGATTTCTAAAGGGAGCAGGGGCTGGTACAGTCCCTTCTCTCACTTCATAGTTCTCAGTGTCTCTGCCAAATTCATTTGGCTTTCTCTTATCAATCTCATGACTTGGCTCCTGTTAGGAGTACTAAGATCTAATACCTAGGAACCATCCTAAGTAGGGTAACCCCACTCAGAATCAGAATTTCTGGTCTCTAACACCCTCCTCTGGCCCCCTGATGGGACCTACATGTCATTATACATATTGATCTCAGTTGCATCCTGTGATAATAATGCTACAGAATTAAAGATATCAGGATAACGACATATACATTAGTGCTGTCTGTCTGACCAGATCCTGTTTGCAGAATCTATAAGAGGAGATCTTTGATTAGGTTTGGGAATTGCAATGGAGTAAATCCATCAACAACTCAGAAAGTTACTAGGCTTCAAAAATAGAACACCTTTGACATAGGCTGTAGGTAATGGGACATTTTCATACAAGGAATGTGGTATTAAATATTAAACAATCTCAATGAAGAGCCAATACATTCTCATCTATCCAACGATAATTAGAAGAGTCTAAAACTCCAAAGAATACTATTAAAAAAGGTAATAGACCTTGTAGAGTATTACAACTAGGTCAAAGGATGTATCGTAGTTGTGGGAATTAATCCCAATACTGATTAAGCAAAGAAAACCTGTTACCTAGAATAAGTAAGAGTTGCCAACCCAGAGTTTATCTGCCAATCTGGTAAAATATCCTCTTGCGAATTAGAAGGAAGTTATTCAGCAGAAGACATTTGTTAGTTAGATCAGGAGTTATGGAGGTTTGAAGTCGACAACTTAAGAAGGTTGTATTTATGACTACTCCTGCAGATACAACCCGCAGATGAAACTAATCATTTGTCATGAACGTGGCTTGGCACGAAAAAGGTTTTTACATAACTCATGATTATGAGTCATAGGTATGTTATTGTTTCACACATATGACTCATTTAGGTCATATGACTTATTATGTTATAATTTGTTATGTTTCGTACATGACTCGATTATGAGTCATGAGATGTGTGCCTGGCAAGTATGTCTTGCGAGTGTGCCTTGCGGGTATGCCTTACATATATGACTTCTGTTTTGCACATGACCTCATTATGAGGTTATGGGTTTCACTCATATGACTCAGTCGAGTCATATGACTTATTTATTGTGTTGTGATTGGTTTATGAGTTTTTGCACATGACCTTGCAATGAGGTCAAAGGTTTTAAGAGAGTGACTACTTTGGTTACATGATTAGTTTGTTATGATTTGGTTTCGCACATGTGACCACTTTGGATCACATGACTATGGGCGGGAAGAATACTATATAAGGAGGCCGATGCAGCTGATCAGGATAGGTTCTTTATACTTTGTTCTAAGTACTTTTCCTCGTCCTTGCTGTCGCTTCGTCCTAAGCGTTTCTTTCGTACCCACAGTGAGTCTTGATGCCTGTCACGAATGTGACTTAGCATGAAAAAGGTTTTCACGTGACACATGGTTATGAGTCAAAGGTATGTTATTGTTTTGCGCATATGACCTATTCGGGTTATATGATTTATTATGTGTGAGATTTGTGATGATTTCACACATGGCTCAAGTATGAGTCATGGGATGTGCACCTGATGAGTATGCCTTACGAGAGTGCCTTGCAGGTAAGCCTTGCAC